ATTGCTTGGCTCAATCCTCAACTGCTGATCTCGAGCTGCTTGACGCTATCACCGATGATGCAGAATGCGATCAAGTCTTTGATCAATGTCAGAACACACAGAAGGCTGCTTGCCAAACTCTACAAGCCGCAAAGAGAATGATAGCCGCATCAAGTCAGCCTATCAACCCTGTTGCAACCTACTAGGATCATACGAATATTGCCGCAGATCAATCTGCCTAGCTTCAGTGACAATTTCACTGCCTGGCTAAGTTTCATTGGTCAATTTCGGTCAACTTTTCATGACAATAGCACGCTGTCACCGGTTCAAAAATTGATGTATCTCAAGAGATGCTTGACGAGCCATGCTTTTAAGATCATCATGACTTGGGAGACGACAGAAAGCAACTACGAGGTAGCGCTTCAAATGTTAAAGCAGAGATACAAAAACGATCGAGTCATCCTTCGAAAGGTTGTCACGAATTGACGGATTCACTGCAGTTCGGACAGAGAAGATGTCTCAGCTTCGTCAGCTACACTCAGTCTTCAACGAGACTTCGCAGTTCATCAAGATACTCGGAAGGTCAGTAGAAAACGATTTGTGGCATTTCCTTCTCTTCGAGAATCGCGATCCTGAATCTCAGAAGGCCCGGTTAACTGCAAACGTTAGGACTAAAACTATTGACTTCGACTGACTCATGATGTTCTTAGACAACAGAGTCAGGTCTCTAGAGGTGGTTGAAGGATATCATTCCAGACCCCATAAGCCAGAGCGTGAGCACCAAATGTTCTTGACAGAAAAGAACCGATCTCATAAGAATGGCTTCTCTTTGCCACAGTGTTAAGTTCAAACCTGCCAAGAGCGACATCCAGTATGGTAGTGTGCGAAATACAGATCGATGACAACATCAGTAAGAAAGAATTTCGTGACCAGCAATAGGTTGTGCTTCAATTGCTTGTCTGCCAGCCACGGCATCCACCAATGTCCTTTAACATCACTGGACAAGACATGTCAAAAGAAGCATCATACAACTCTTCATGGCAATTATAGTCAGCCCAGTCCTCATCTCGCAGCGACAATAGATGCTCTCCAAATCAACCGAACTGGAACTATCACAGTTCTTCCAACCGCAAACGTCAAAGTTCGATCTCAGAACGGTCGAATTCGTCACTTTAGGGCGCTCATTGACAATTGTGCTCATGACAATCCTACATACATGCCATGCACCCGCTTGGCATCAAACCAACAGAAGCTCCAGATCGCATAATTGGAGTGAACCAGAAGAACGCTATGTCTACCCATGGTAGAATGAATCTCACAATTCTACCAAAATCTGGTAGCAATTTCAAAGTTTCTTGTGTTGGAAAACATCACGGATCACGAGCATCCAAACACTCAAATCGCAGCCACAGACATACAAAAGGTCAGCAGCTACAACTTAGCAGATCCAGCTTTCGACAAGCATAACACAATTGATCTCCTGCTTGGACAATCCGTCTACAAGCACATTGTGAAGTCACCGAATGTCAAGGAAGGAACTATACTGCTAACCGACACGATCATTGGTTGGACAGTCTCAGATGTCGCTGATACCGATCAAACAGCCACAACACGAAGACACACGAAACGATATGGAGTCAATTTCCTTGGCAGCCAGTCCACCACATTTGACATATCTCCAGAATCCCAACACTCATCCAACGAACTTGAGTGAATCCGACATTTCGATCAGACTACGACATATGGACCAGACGAACGAGCTATCGCGAGATTGCCAATCAACAAATCACAGATTATCACGAACAAATCACGAAATCAGCCATGAATGGTTGCCCGATTTTGGTCACTCAGCACACAAAGCTTTCCGGCAATTCATTCCTAATGAAAGGAAGCTACGACAGAACCGTGAAGTCAAGGACCAATAGAACGACTTCTTCCAAGAGATGATTGACACTGGCCATATCGAGAAGGTACCTGTGTCAGATCAATTTCTGTCAGTCGGGAATTACTTCAGCATGCCTCATCATGCAGTTTGGAAGTCGGACTCAACAACAAAGTGCAGAGCTGTTTTAAACGGATCAGCTCCAACTGCAAATGCAAAGTCGTTGAGCGATTGTCTATTGGTTAGTCCCAAGCAGCAACCAGACCTCTTCAACTTCCTTGTCTGGCTCCGATTCTACAAAATTGCTCTATCGGGTGACATCACCAAGATGTACAGGGAAATAGAACTGCGCCCTAAAGACAAATCTACATCAGCTCTACTGGAGAAGAGAAGAAGAGGATTCAATTGAGAAGTGCCAGATGATTCGTGTCATCTAAGGTATAGCTTCAATTAATTATCACGCCATACGACTCTTGTTAGACACCGTCGACACAACAGAAAATGAACAGACAAAGCTAGCAATTCACGAGTCCTTCTACGTGGACGATTACATTGTTTGTGCAGATACTGAGGAACGAGCCATCATAATGCGCAAAAGCCTGCCTGCACATTCGGAAGTGGGCAAGCAACAGCAAGATTGTCATGATACCCGACAAATTGCATGAAAGCAAAGAGTTAATCTTAGCAGAAAATTACCACAGCGTCAAAACTCTTGGGCTCAATTGGGATCCAGTTTCTAATTGTTTCCAGTACCGGTAAAGTGGACTCGGTGAAGCCTATAGGCATACCCCAAGGCACGGCAAAGCCCGCAAAAGTCTCAAGTGTTGATTTTGAGGCAATTGTTGCCGGAAAAGTCAAAAATGTGGCCAAGTTTAGCCCCCCAGATGACCAGGGAAGAGGAGCCTCTGTAAACCAGAACCTGGTGGAATCGGACACCAGCAAACGCCTGATGAGTCGCCTAGATTTTGCCAAGGATCAAAGTATTTAGAAGACAGATTTCACGAGGTCCGAAATCACACTCTGGTCAATTCCGGACGCTTGAAAAATGCCGAAAAAGAAAAAGAGCAACCGAACCTTGACAGTTGCATTCACCATGACTGCCCTAACGCTACTACACATGAATCAGCGTCAAATTTTTTTTTGAAGTTACGAGTTTAATTTAACCCCAAAAAAGTGGCCAATTTTGGACGAAGTTTTCCGACCGAAAAAATCAAAAATCGAGAGCACATCGGTCTTCAGCACATTTCAAAGGCTTGCCCCACTGACAGGAATCATCCAGATGCCTCCTGCAAAGTGTTTTTTTTTTGCAAAAATCAAGCCGATTTCACAGGAGCCATATTGTGGTCAATTTCGGCGGAGTTTTTCAAAATGAAAAATCCAAAAACCAACTCCCCAAAAAGGGCAAGCACGCGTTTCAAACGTCCCCCAAAATTTTTCCGGTTGAAAACATCAGGAGTTTCACCCAAGTTTGGCGTGCAGAAAACGCAAAACACAAATGGGTCTCCAACCAGCATCCTCTGGTCATCTGAATCGCGCTAATCAGAAATGAAAGACAGACAGAAACCCATCTACAATGATTGAGAGCAGCTCATTAGCTTCGCCCGAGAGCTTTCGAAAACCCACAATCCCTCGCCGGATGCTAGCAAGCAACTTGGGACGAGTTTTTGATCCCCTTGGACTAGAGACCCCTGTAACGATAATGCCGTAGTTTCTATTTCAAAAAAATATGGGGTGGGATTTGGAATGGGAAGATGATGTTGGGGCGCATATAGCGAACCAATTCCAACAGTCACGACTTGCACCAAGGAAGACAGTTTGCATTCCAAGTCTTGAGCTTTTTTCAATGGTTTTGGGCTGTAAACTCCTGAAATGTGTCTTGAAGTCAATCCAAACTTTGCAATTGGTTGTAGATGTCAGCGACTGGAGTGATTCAACAATAGCACTCGCTTGCATCAGATCAACTCCAAACAGGTACTCTACTTTTGTGGCCAACCGTATTGCCAAAGTTCAACAGATGCTACCAGCCAAGAAGTGTAAACACGTTCCGACTCTTCAAAACCCAGTCGATCATACAACGCGACCAGTAGCAGCAGCTGAACTACAAAATTTGCAGCTGTGGTGGTCAAGGCCCTCTCGGTTGCAGACAAATGAAATTTCTATTCCATCACAACCAACAATTCTCGAAGCAAATGAATTTAAGAACGAGCTCAAACGGAATTCGACCAAACCATCCTGCTCACTCAGGCAGCTGACAAGGAGAAAACCATGCAAGCAGCAAAAGCAACCAGGACTACACGTCGGATAGACAAAAGGAGCGGAAAGTTTTTCGATTTGGAACGATGGGGATCTTTTGGCAAAGCTCTACTCATTGGAGCTTTAGTCGCAAAGTTCGACCTGAAACCTCTGAAGAAGAACACCGACGATCGTAATCAGCTTCGAAGATTAGGACTAAACCGACTTGTACGAGACGTTCACGAGCAGCATTTCGACAAAGAAACAAAAACAGATCTAAAACAAAAACAATGGATCAGTGGCATCCACCAACTCCAGCGGCCTGAGGACGACCCGACACTCTAACTTCACCTTCGGCACCTTCTCCACAAGTTCCACTTTCCCTGTAGTCAATCCCGACAACTTCACCTCCCGCCCTCTTACTACTGTTTCCAGATATCATCTCCATCTGAAATGTGAAAAGATTGATCAAAGATCATCGGGGGCGGCAATGTTGGAGCAAACAAAGCATGTTTTAAATGGCAAGATATTTGCTCACATGTAAACTCAATTAAAAACACATGTTAATTTTCCTATAATTTATTCATTTCATTTACCCGCAATTTACAGTAACTAAATCATCATTAATTCTTTTTTCATACGATACAGCGCTCTCCAGCTATCGCGAAGTATTCATGTGGTTTGCAGAGCTGATCTGCAGGCTTCGTCATGATGCTGAAGGCGCTGATCGTCATAATTCATCAGCAAGTTCGTTTCTCGGGAATATAATCAGTTTTTGAGCGCTCTTGCAATTTTTTTTGTTTATTTGCTCAGCAACAACTTTGACGTCACAGTGCTAAAAAAGCTAATATTTTATTGCTTAGTATTTTATACTTATATACTTATCTTGCTCACCTATTTCAGATTGAAATGGCGGCAATTTCTAGGCAAAAAGCTGTAACTTTTTGTCAAAATGTGCTAAAAATGAAGGAGAAAACAATCGGTAAAATCAAACCCAGTGTGTTTTGCAACGAGTACGCTGAAAAATTCACCAAGCGAGTTCCCTTCACCTCCGTTTTTGACAATTACGTATTGCGATCTAAAGGACACAACTGGAACTCCCTCAAAAATGACCCTTCACTTCTAGTAAGTTAGCATGCTACCTCGTTTTGTCTGGATCAAGGAGTATTCTTAAGCTAACTTTCACCGAACTTCTACATCACCCCTTTTAGCCAAAAGAAAACTGTTTAAACTACAAGAACCTATGGAAAAAATTGCCCTTTTTGCGCTTTGTAAACGGCTCGACAAAAATTGGTTGATTTTTTTGGTTGAACTTGCACCGATCCTGTTTTGAGCTTTCTTTTGAGTAGAAGAGATCGATTTGTTTGAGAGATAAAAAGAGATATAATTAGGTTGCGTATGTCTTGCCATGGTGCTATCGTCTCGTCGTTTCTATCAGTGCAGTTTCTCTAGATTCTATATGTAAAAAAGGTCCCACTTTTTCGAGCGATAGCGTCGACGCCTCGTTTTTTATATTGCTTTCTCAAGAGAGATTTTTATGCGAATTTCAAAGCTGTTCGAAGGGCTATTGTTTTGGCGTGCGGAAAACCGAGTGAAACCTTACAGCGGCGCGTTCTTAAAGCGGCCCGTTCTAAGATAGCTAGAACCAATAAAAACTCGTAATGTGAGGTTATTTGATTGGCTTATGTTTTCTAGCTTATTCAGGATGCTCACAGAATCTCTTGATGGGAAGAGAGGTACAGTGTGACCGGCAGTCGAAAGGGTATGCAGGAGGTTAAGGTCCTGTATAACAACTTGGCAGACGCCCGGTATATTACATATAAATGATTGATGGCAGTCATTACGGTTAAGTAACCAAATCGGTGTTGTGAGCGTGTTAGTCAGTTTTTTAGGTTAAGTTTGCTTTGAATTTCTGATATTGTTGGTAGAATTTTGTCATAAAGCTGAGACTTTTGTTGTAAAAATGTTGTGTGTCTGCGATATGAAGGTTTTTATACCCCTAACTTTAATGCTAGAAGATGCTTTCCTAGTTGTCGATAAGTAAGTTGTTAGTTTTTTCTTTAAGTGCTTCTATTTTCCCAGCTTAACTCATTGTAAATAAACTTAGTTGTTGTTTGGGTGGGATAGTGATCCGTCGCCGCGAGATCTAGACTCGAACCTGGTTTAACCTGGTTCCACAAAAAAATCTATTTTGATAAATACTATTAAAAATGAAGTCTGTGAAATAACCTTGGCTTTGCTATATCGCTGTTGTGTTATTCTGTACGCGGACTGTTAGGTTTTGGATCAGACTTAGCTAACAACATAAATACATGCATATAGTATGCGCTGCGATATGTTAGCTGATATATTTAAGATTAGTTTTTGTCATTGAAAGTTAATTCGTTCAGGCAAAATCGTTTAAATAGTGTTTTCTGGAAAAGATGTAATTTTTTTGTACTTTGATTATCAATTTTGTTGTACTTTGCTGAGCAGCTAAGAAAGATTTTGCACCCATTGTTAGAAATAATGCTACTATTGAACAGAGATAGGGATGTTAAAGAAAAGGGTGAAAAATGTTAGATGAAAAAGAATTGAATGTATGGTATGAGTTAGTCCATTGTTTAGATAAAATTTTGTTTTGTTTTTGAGGCCCCATAAATGCAAGGGAAGTTAAGGCTTGAGAAGTTTTGTGTAAAAGGTTTACTAGCGTTGAGAGATCAAGACTGCGGTAATTGATTTCAGAATTTGATTAGAATGAGCTAAAAAGAGTGCAGTCGATAATATTGCGAGAGCTGAAGAATTGTGGTGTATTTTTTAGATTTAGTTGCTTTTGTAGAATTTTCTGTCGGCCAGTTTGCCATGCTATGTTTTTAATATATTGCAAGTGATGCAAAGGTTTGCTTTGCATCTGTTAAGTTTTTTTTTATTAATGCTCAATTATTGTTCAGAAAGCGCCAGGAGCATCTTGGTTCAATGGAATGTTGGAAGGAAAATTTGGATCCTCTTGTCAAGTCGCAGCCACTTTCTCCAAACTCATATTGGAATCTCTGGGTCTCAAATCGAGAATAATCATATCGAGAGTACACTTATTTCCAGTTACGATCATTCACTCTTTAGTTATAACCGAAGATGAAGAAGGAGACCTGTCAATTATCGATTTGGGCAACAGACTGACACCCTTGCCCTTATCGATACCATTAAAAATGGCAGTAAATGAGAAGTCGGAGGTATTTGAAGCAGGCGATACATATACCTATATGATCAGAACAGGCAATTATAAACATTTAATCAAATTGGAACAAATCAGTTTTTATTACAATTATCATCAGACACAATTGTTATTTTGACACCTTTATCATGTTTTCATATGTGCATTTTTTGACTGAGAAGTCGGCTCAATCTGCGTTTTAAGCTGAAAAGAATCGTACCTGCTCTAATTTATGATAAATTTTGAAACCTAATGGTTTTCAATCAAATTTTTTCGGCAAAAGCTTGTGGCGTAGATATTAAAAATAGCCAATAGTTCTGAAATAGCATCATTGCCATTGAATTAGCAAAGTTTGCAAAATTCTTGCCCGATAAAAAGGGCTTATAATGTGAAATTTATGAAATAGAAATAATCAAATGCTGGATTTTTCATCTAGGCGAGCATAGCTACGAAAGATGGATTGGATACGAACTAAATTCTGATGGATCAATCAAAGATGCTGTCTTGTTCAATGATTTCACATTGGATGACACTTACGACTTCTATGACAGTTAAGTTTATAAATATTTCTGAAAAATTTTTATGATTTCTTTGAAAATTCGCTATCCATTTTTGGCCGACCGACCCTAAAATTTTTCTAATGGCGCCTTTGCATAAATAATTTTGAAAGAGTGCGCGGCAGTTTTTTTTTGGTCAAAACCTTCCAACATATACTCAAGCATATGCACGGCTTTTTGGTCATGTTTCTACAAAAAATCTTCTGCGGCGCAGAAAATTTTGTCAAAACAGGGTCTTCATGATAATTTAAGAGAGCTTGGGAAATCAATTCGATCGATTTAAAAGTCATCGAAACGTTCGATTTTTTTTTTGAAAATCCCCTTAATCGAGATAATCCTTTATCCGCCCTAGTCCCACCATATTAATTACTCGACGTATTAATTACTTGAAGGTGAGGCTTCCCTTCTCGCTGCAAGAAGTCCACCGTCCATTGAAGGACTTTGGCGGAATTGTCTTCTCCTTGGCACGTTTCTCCAAAAAAAATGTGGATCCCGATTTCCTGAATCACTTTTATATCTCTTTTATTTGTTTCGAAACCGGGTAAATTGTTTCCAATCTTTATTAATGAAACTTTAATTAATTTCCAGGCCATCTGGTCGCCAAAATCATGCAATGGGAAATCCCCATCGATGTCATCTTGAATTATTGGACATACAATGTACCCATATCTGGATTCAGTGAGCACGACGCAAGAATAGTCCGAGTGACAAACAGGAAGTTCAGCGTACAAACCGAACCTAAGATAGGAGCTCCATTCGAATCGTTCAAAGTGGAATCGTTCGACGAGTACTGCAAGAACGTGTTCCAATTCTTTCCCAGATTTGAAAATGAACAGTTTGTTGCTGAGATGTCAAACTTTTGGAAAATGAAATACTCATAGATTTGTGTAGAGTCTTATTACCACTTCTTTTTTTTGTAAATAAGAATTTAAATAACTGAGGGATTGTGCATTCAATTCCAAAGCACTACCTTAATTTAAACAGACTTACCTCAATTTATATTGTAATTCGAATCTGATCTCAATTCAACAAACTCCCTTCAGACAATTGAAATACTCCTTTTTGAGTATTAATAAGCGACGTGCTTTCCACTTATTTTGGTTGCCTGGTTTTTTGTTCTTTTTTTGAATTTTTTCGGCGGCTTGCTTTTCGAAGTCGTTTAGTAAAAGGCAGGTCAATTGCGATTGCGCAAAAATTGGACATTGACTTTCTTATTTGAATTGGATTGTACACCGATTGATTACATAGATCTAATGATTGTAGTCTTATATAACCTATCTCTTTTTTTTCTAACCTAACTCACCAATAAAAGTGTTCAGTTGGTGGCATTTTTGTTGCATGTTATATGTTTTCTAATAGCATCTTTCCTATCGGATTTGTTAGTGGCTAGTGTTTTCTGATATCAAACGTGAGACTCCTGGTCGGTGATTAGATTTTGGAACCTAGCAATAGTTTTGGATCTTTACCATTATAACTTCCCCAGTAATATTTTTAGCCCCTCTTCCAGTAAGCATGTGCATGTTTTTGTATATATACATAACTCGTATTTCTGCGCAGAGTATAATTCATTACTGGCGAAATATGGATTCACTTTAGTAGAAATACTTTTATTACGCTAGTAGTATTGTATCGTGTCCCGGATCCTAAGGGGGGTCCTTCCTAAGGGGGGGGGGTCCTCACGTAAAGCAAAATCCTAGGAAAGGGGTCCTTAATTTTTTGGAGGACCCTCATCCTAGGATTTTGTAAACGAAAGAAATTTTCCACCCAAAAAGCAGAAGACCCCCTACTTAGGATCTTGCTAAGTTTAGCTTAACAACAAGGGACACGATACAAAATTCTTTCCAATTCCAATTTTTGGGGTCCTAATTATTGGTCTTGGTTAATTATATGAATCATAATAATTGTTATATTTGTTTCGGGCAAATGAACTTTCGACCAAGTTGAAATTTGTTAGTGAACGGGGAATTGACTTTTATGGTATATAATAAAAATGCGCCGGGCAATTTGGCAGCGTAGCTTAACTGTTGGCAGCAGTAAACTAATTCCTTAACTTGACCTAAATTTTATGGTGAAAAGGCAGTAAATTGAAATTACTCTCAAAGGCGGCGGCCGTTTCTGGGCTAAATATACCAAATGATAAATTTGACAAATTTTGAAATAAGAAAAATGAAATTAGAGGGAACTTGGTGTACTGAAGATATTGATAATGAACATTTACAATTAAGAGTGTTTTCAACCGCAGAAAAAAACTCATTTTTCAAATTTAGTAATGAACGCTACGTCGTCTTCCTCGAAAGGGCAAAGGAAATTTCAAAGAAAGAATACGAGTTAATTTTCAAAGAACAATTTTATTTGAGTGAGCTTCAACAAATCTCTTGGTGCATATCTACAAAACAACAGTATGGTACTGTGAGCGATTTGAATTTTGCTGATTATGAAAACATATTCGACTATTCGTTTGATTTTACCTCAAAAAGGGTTGATAAAGACTTGGAGAGAAAAATCCGTCTATGTTTCAACAAGCTATCAAAATACAAAAAACTTCCGGTGGTTTATTTAATTATTTACCACCGTTATCTTAATGAGACTAAATGGTATTTGCAAGGTCACTTTTATTTCCACTGGCTTGAAATTCAGCAGGTTGGAGAGGTGTTGGAAAAAATAAATAATGAAATTGCAAAAAAAGCAGAGTAACTCCTATTGATTTGAAAATAATTCACGAAATTTATACGTCTTTGAAACAAACTTATCCTGATAATTCTAACCGACGTAACTATTTTCTAGCTGCATGTTCTCTGTTTTTTGTTAGTTCTGATAACCTTAACTACGACATTTTAATTAAGTTGAGACCTTATGGTGGCTTGATTGGTATTGATAACTCTTCCTTGGACAAATACTTGAAAAATTCCAAAATTTTACGATTGCACGCTATTTTGCACGATGCGGCCGGATTTATACACGAATTTTATCAACAGGGTCCCACGTACTGTTACATGTTGCCCTGGAACTGTAACAACAGCTTATTGGGACATTTGAGTGGAATAGCGTTCTGCCTTTTCATTAAGTTGAAAAAACCAGAAGTTTATCATTTACTAGAATGCTAGGCGAGAGATCAGTTGTGCTTGACGTGGAAGGCTTTCGTTACAAGAAAAACGCCTTTGTGGTTAAAGAATTAGCAATAACAACTTCAGACTACAGCGATCGACTCATTTTCCTACCTCCAGTGAATTTCAATATACTACCAAAGCTTGAACAAAAAGCTTACAACTGGTTAACAAATTATTTACACGGTCTCCATTGGGAAAACGGTGATTATCTTTATATAAACTTGAATCAAATACTTCAGAGTTTTGTGCTGAGAAATCCCGGTGCCGTTTTTTACGCTAAAGGAAAAGAAAAGACAGAATTTTTGGCCAAGTACTTGGACCGAAAGATTGAAAACCTAGATGATTTGGGCTGTCCTCGGGTTGAAAACTTATATTTTAAAAATTATCCAAGTTGCAATTAACATATTCCACATTACAACTCCAGGAATCATTGTGCCCTGAAGAAAACCAAGGTTTTTTATGATTGGTTGAAAAATGAACAACAGCGAGAGATCAGCGAAAGTGGAGACATACCTATCACCAAATTCAATGCTTTGTGCGTGGATGACTCCAGAGGGTGATATTAAAATTTCATTAACGAGAATAGAGCGTATTGATTGCAGTGGCCAAATTGTTCAGAGGAAGGAGCAAATAATAATTTCCGAAGAAGAGTTGTCTACGTTGAAGAGGTTTTTTCCAGTTATTGATCAATTTGTATACTTCCAGAGATTCAAGTTTATCAGAAATGTTAGCCAGCAAGCGAGGAGTATATCTTCCCGAACTAGTCTTAGTACCCAAACGTCAGCCAGGAGTTCAGATGGATCTAAACAGCAGTGAATTGCCAGATGAGATTAAGACGATTGTGAAAGAGGATACTGTGAAGAAAATAATGTACTACAAAAAAACTGCAAATATCCCAGCAAACTTTGTTTTAGAAATGCATGACATAAATGATAGAGATTTCACACGTTATAAAATTTTGTACTTTTCTCAATACTAATTTAATTTTTTACAAGCTTCATTCACAGTGAGAAAAAGTCTAACACAGTCTGTAGAATAAATAGTTTCTCAAATGTCAGAAGCAACAACAGCAGTAGATCAACCTGACGCAACATTAGTAACAGAGTTTGTTTATAACGAGACAAACAGTGAAAAAAAATCATGGAAGTTTTGTAACAATGTAACTTTGCCAAGGTCTGAAGTAGTTTTTGTTGCGCAAATGGTAGTAATTCTAATTTTACTAACTTTCTGCATTCTCAAACTTTCTTTCACTAAATTAAGTTGCGAAGAAACGTCAGTTTGGTTCTCGATTTTATCAGGCTTGGTTGGTTACGTACTACCAAACCCAAGAATATGAATAAAGTGATTGATACTTCGACAAGAATTTTTATGGCGATAGTGGGACCTTCAGGATCCGGGAAAACTGAGTTAATTTTGAAACTTCTGATGGGAAATACTTTTTACCCTAAATTTGGAACCGTTCTATATCTTTACAAAGAGATGCAACCTGCATTCTCAGAAAAAGTGTCTTCTCGCGAAGTGAATGTGGAGTTCAAGAAATTCGACGGATTCGAATCTGTGAGAAAATTAGAAAATGTTCTTCTAGTTTTCGATGATTCATGTGAAGACATCTATAATGACAAGGAATTTGTTAGGTTAGCGACAGCGGGTAGACATAGAGGGATAGATGTAATATATGTTAAGCATAACTTGTTTCAACAAAGTCGATGGTCGCGTACGATTGATTTGAACACTTCACACATCATTCTGTTCAAATCGCCTCGCGACGTTCAGCAACTAGATCTATTAGGAAGACAATTGAATGTATCAAAATTTTTGAGAAACTGTTACGAATTAGCTATCAGAAACTCTTTTGGACATCTTCTAATCGACTTGGACCCCCGTACATCGGATTGTTTGAGATATTGTTCAAATATCACACCACCTGGGCCAACAGTTTTTTATTTACCCTTATCTGAAGCAGAAACTTCTGATATCAAACGTGAGACTCCTGGTCGGTGATTAGATTTTGGAACCTAGCAATAGTTTTGGATCTTTACCATTATAACTTCCCCAGTAATATTTTTAGCCCCTCTTCCAGTAAGCATGTGCATGTTTTTGTATATATACATAACTCATATTTCTGCGCAGAGTATAATTCATTACTGGCGAAATATGGATTCACTTTAGTAGAAATACTTTTATTACGCTAGTAGTATTGTATCGTGTCCCGGATCCTAAGGGGGGGGGGGGGTCCTTCCTAAGGGGGGGGGGGGTCCTCGCGTAAAGCAAAATCCTAGGAAAGGGGTCCTTAATTTTTTGGAGGACCCTCATCCTAGGATTTTGTAAACGAAAGAAATTTTCCACCCAAAAAGCAGAAGACCCCCTACTTAGGATCTTGCTAAGTTTAGCTTAACAACAAGGGACACGATACAAAATTCTTTCCAATTCCAATTTTTGGGGTCCTAATTATTGGTCTTGGTTAATTATATGAATCATAATAAT